CTGAAACAATAAGAAGAAAGAAAAAAAAAAAAAAAAGAAAAAAGGAAAAAAAAAAAGAAAAAAAAAAGAACGAATAAAACGATATTGAATGAATGAACGAACAAACGAACGAACGAACGAACGAACGAACGAACGAACGTGATCAAACGAACATGTTTCAAAGTAAATATGACGTTCGGTGGAAAAAAAGAAAAAAAAAGAAAAAGAAAAAAAAAAAGAAAAGTTTCCATTTCATTCGTTCGTAACGTTTTGACGTTAGTTTTTTCTTTTCTTTTCTTTTTCTCTTTCTCTTTTTCTTTTTTTTTTTTTTTTTTTTTTTTTTTTTTTTTTTTTTTTTTTTTTTTTAACATTAGTAACTCCAACTTTACTTCGAACATCAAAAATATAACATATAATTTAACATTAACATTTAATTTAAATTCTCTCTCTCTCTTTCTCTCTCTCTCTCTCTCTCCCTCTCTCTCTCTCTCTCTCCCTCTCTCTCTCTCTCTCTCTCTCTCTTTCCATGTGTAAATACTTGTTCGAATTCGTTCGTATTATTTTAAAAATATTAATCATTCAATTGGAAATAATTAAATTCAATTTTAATTTATATTGATAATAATATAATTAATATAATACAAAGGCGTTCGTTTTAAAAGACCATTGAATTGATTTTTTTTTCCTTCGATATAAAAAGTATTATTATTAGTCGTTCAATTAGATAATAAATATTTTCGATGAAGCAACATTATTTAGTGTTATTTATTTATTTATTTATTTAGATAAAAAATACTCAACAATGTTTCTTTTTTCTTTCTTTTGAATAAATGAATGTAACAATACACAAGATAAAATAAAATCTCTTTCATTTAGATTTACGTTATTTCTTCATTATTGCGATATAATAAAAATATTACGAATTGTCAATTAAAAAAAAAATCATTCACTTCTTTAGAATGTTAGAATATTAAAAATATTTTCGATAAAAAGAAAAGGAAAAAAGAAAAAAAAAAGAAATGTCATATTTATAAGACTATTAAAAATTTCGATATTATTATTATTATTATTATTATTATTATTATTATTATTATTATTATTATTATTATTATTATTATTATTTCATCATACGTTCTTGCAACATCCATTTAAAAAATTTTATCTCGAGACATTAAGCTGATAAAGAAGAAGTACATACATATTAAGATTGAAATTGTTCGTACGATCTGACGAATAAAATTTGTAAGTAATAGCCGAACAAATTTACGATAACGAGAGACAGAGAGAGCGAGAAAGAGAAAGAGAGAGAGAGAGAGAGAGAGAGAAAGATCGTGTACGGTTTTATCTCTTAAGAATTCAAATTTCCCGCTTTTAAAACTGTCCCATCGTATTTCTTTGGATGAGTACGAGATAAAAGACAAAAAGTAAAAAAAAAAAAAAAAGAAAAAAAAAATTATTCAACTGAATGATATCTTATACAATGAGGGTTCTCGTAAGGGGTAGCGCGGATATTTTCTTTTTGTTTTTTTTTTTTCGCTTTTTTCCTTCTTTTTACGGATTTTCGAACTATCCTCTTTTTTCGTTTTCATCTTCTTCTTTTTTTCTTTCTTTCTACGTTTTATAGGAGGAGTTAGAAAACGTCCATCGTAACGAGATTCTTTTCGTAGGAAAATCGTCGTTAGGATTCAACGCGAACGCCTGGCCACGATTTTCAAGTCGACCACTATGCAAATTTGATGGTGCTCTCTCTCTCTCTCTCTCTCTCTTTCTCTCTTTTTCTCCTTCTCCCTATATTTCTTCGTCCTTTACCTCCCTGTAACCCCCTAAAGCCATAATTTTTCCATTCTTTTCTCTTTATCTGTGTTCTCGTCTTTCTCTTCCTCCTCTACCACCTCCTCCTTCTTTCTCCTATTTCCAATATTATTCCTATTTCTATTTCTACTTCTCGTTTTAGAATTAGAATGTCCCTAAGGAAGAGAGAGAATATATATATATATATATATATTTTTTTTTTTTTTTTTTTTTTTGATAATCATATAAAAATATTTTTGATAATCAATATAAAAATATTTTCTTAAATATACTTTGAGCAAATATATAATGAATATTTTAATGAATATTTATAACGAAGTACCAATGAGTGATTATAATTGGTCAGCATAAATAATTAAATATTGTAAGTTACGCCAGGATTTTATCATAAATACTGATCGTTCATTTATATAAAAAAAAACATTGACGTATTGTTATATTATATTTGAAAATATATTGTAATTAAAATATCGACGTATCAATTATATTTAGAAATATTTTAATCATAACACAGTTCTGCTATTAAACTGTTTAAAACTTGTGACCAAATTTATATATTACACTGTACTGACATTTTCATTATAAATTTCATTGTAAAATATTGGCATAATTCATAATTAAAATCTTTTTTTCTCGAAAAAACTTTTTTTTTTCTTTTTTCTCGAAAATACTTGATCGAAACAAATAAAAGTATATTTTTTTTTTTTTAAAGCGAGTTCATTTGACTTGACTTTTTTTATCAAATCAAAATAATACGACGTCACTCTTGTATTGAATAATATTTAATGAAAAAAAAAAAAAAAAAAAAGACAAAGAAAAAAAAAGAAAAAAAAAGAAAAAAAAAAGAGAAAAGATTAAAAAGAAGTACGTTCATTTTAGCGCAATTAATTGCGATTTACGTATTAATTAATTTATCGTATTTAATTTTTTTCCGTCGCATTGCGTCACATTTAAAAATACAAAGTGATTAATGTGTTCAAAGAGAAAAGAAGATATTATGGGCATATTATATATCTCTCTTTATGGAGAAAGATAATGGCATTAAAAATATATGACAACGAATAACATTTTCGAGGATAAATATCAATTATCAATGAAGATATTGACGGATCGGATGAGGAGTAATTTTTTTGATAGAGAGAAAGAGAGAAAGAGAGAGAGAGAGAGAGAGAGAGAGAGAGATCGTCGAAGGTATTTCTTTATCAATATCCATTGCATTAACGATGGTGACACATATGGTAGAATGGTTCCGTTCGAATGAATGTACATACATATATATATATATATATATATATATATATATATATATATCTTTATTTACGTGTATATATATATGCGGTAATCGATCTTTGTGAGATGGCGTATTAACGAAGATAGAAGAAAATTAATCGTTATATATATATATATATATATATATATATATATATATATATATTATGTATAAATGTTGACTAAACGATAACAATAAGAATCTTCGATATATTGTTGATCGTTTATTTAAATATATATATATATTCCTTTCGATCCATCATCGATCCTTATGAAAAATGATAATAATGATCTAGATAGGTATCTAAAAAATGATATTCTATCTCGTGGAAAAACCTTTCCCCGTAAGTGGTGACACACCATAAACGTTTTCATATAATAAGCTTACGCGAACGGATGACGCTTAAAGTGACGAGAGCCAAGTGATTCATCATGTCGCGCGCATCCGCCAAAACCACACCGTCTGATTGATCACGACGTATTGCGGATAAATAATCGTCCTTCTAAGCCGCTAAAAAGATGCGCTACATCGTAAATCTCTATCTCTTTATCTCTCTCTCTCTCTCTCTCTCTCTTTTTCTCTTCCTCTTTCTTCTTTGATAGAAGAGGGATAACAATATAAAAATGTTTTGTATATATAGAAAAAAAAAAGAAAAAAAAAAAAAAAAAAAAGAAAAAAAAAATAAAGAAAAAGTTTATCCTCGTTCGATTGTTATTAAAAATGAAGAAAAGTATAATTCGAATGAGATGTGCAATTGTAACATTTGACATTACTTTATCGATCCGAATTAATTTACGATAAATGGGAGAAAAAAAAATGGGAGAAAAAAGGTTCGTTCATACGAGATAAATTGGATCATTCAGAGAATTGACGAAGGTGTTTTACGAACATTAACGAAGAAAAACTTTATCGACATAAAAAATCAAAATAGAAACTTTATGTTTATTCGTCCATATAATTTATATATCATTAATAAAAATTCACTTATATACGATTAATCGTATAAATACCTATGTATCTATGTGTGTATGTATGTTGCATCATTGAACGTTTCGAAACTTTAAAACAAAAGCTGAAAAAGTTTCTAATGTATATATCTACGTCAAATACACCACACACACACACACATACACACACATGTACACAGAGAAAGAAGTAGAGAAAACACTAGCATAATAGATACATGTGTGTGTGTGTATATATATATATATATATATATATACATATAGCACTATACCATCGTATACATATATGGGGACCATAGTAACGCGCCTTTGGTTAACCATAAGTACATTCGAATCTACGATGAACCATAGTCCTCTTCTACGACCAACAAAGGAATTTCGTTCCTAAACGAGAGAACTAATAGAACACATGTACATACATACCATGATTACCTTACTAATACCATTACACATTGAAATATATATATATATATATATATATATATATATATATATAAACCTTTACTGTTAGCCGCTGCTAACAACCTCTTGTACTTTTTGTTGAGTTTGCGAGAGATAGAGATAGAGTTTGTGGTTTCCTTGATTTCTCTTCGAATTCATACGATTTCTTTCCCTCTCTCTCTCTCTCTCTCTCTCTCTCTCTCTCTTTATCCCCTTTTCTCTCTTCCTTTTTCCTACGACAATTCTATGGAAATTTTAAAGGGAAAAAGAAAATTATATAAAAAAGGACATCGCATTGCGTTCGATCGATAGTCCATTTATTATCGATAATATCTCATCAATTATGATAATATGATTATGGAGAATTAAGAAATAAAGAGATCAAATATTCACTGTCAATTCTTATAATATCCATCATTGAAACGAATCTTTTATTTAAGCTTTTCGAATAAAAGATGAACGGATTGGGCACAGGATAAATTCTTGAGATGTACGACGTGAAGTGAAGTAAAAAAAAAAAGAAAAGAAAAGAA